CCTCCCACTCCTAACTCACCGAGACGCCGCAGCATGATACCGTGGTCTACGGTATCAAAAGCCGCTGAGAGGTCCAAAAGAACAAGGACAGAGGAATACCCTCTGTCCCGGGCCCTCCAGAGATCATTGACCAACGCGACCAATGCCGTTTCCGTGCTGTGCCCCGGCCTGAAACCCGACTGGTATGGGTCTAGATAGAGACAAAATGCTCCATGAGAAGTTTGCAAGACAACTGTGGTTTTAAAGGAGGAATATGTGAATATCTATTGTGTCTTAAAACTATACTGACTTTTCAGCTATTGAACATGTGAGAAAGAAAGAGTGCTTTCTCTAAGTTAGCTTCTCAAGAGTAAGGAATTTCTTTCCATTCATTGAGTATTTACTATGGCTTGAAGATAGCTGTGTAATGCTGTCCATTAATATTGTAAACATTGGATCTGATTGCAAGTAATAACATTATTACTGTTCATAATCTAGGGCAGGCATGTCAAACTGCCAAAACCAAGCCCACCCCATTGCCGGCAATGGGGAAAAAGTTGCGATACATCGCGCAATGTCACATGACGTCACGAGTTTGACATGCCTGACCTAGGGTATTCTTTTTACTGGATGCCTCAAGAGAGAGGAAAATTACTTTCAGATACCCTTACTGAGAGAAGATTTAGTGAAAGTCTTGAAGTGCTGAAAGAAATTCTGCTTGGGAGAAGCAGGATGAACTGCCACAAGTAGTAATAGTAGTAGTAATAGTATTCTGGAGGTACCTTTAATACATAAGCCTGTACTCTAATAGGAGTGTATTTTCTCAATATACCAGTGTTATTGACTTTAAAAGAGTCAGAGTTTTCTATACTTTTTAATTACCATTCTAGTGGCTGTCTAGACTTTTGCAATCCAGATCTAGCAGTCTTTGTTTTTATGAAGGGAGCACATATCTTCCATGCAGTGGTGGGATTCAAATATGTGAACAACCAGTTCTCTGTGTGAATGCCGCTTCCAGAAGTTCATTCTGGGGTGGGCAACAAAAAATTAGCTACCGGTTCTGCGAACTGGCTGAATCCTACTACTGCTTCTTACTTAACTTGTCCAATAGTGAAATATGTGAAAGTTGCATTACAGCAAGGTCTGTAGAATCACATTTTCTTAATTCTGCCATATTGTACCTAAAGGATGTGGTCCAGTTGTGCTGAGATATTCAGTGTGATGAAAGAATTGAAAAGAAAACATATAATACCAATAGATTTTTTTTAAAAAAAGTGAAACAGTGCTGACATTTATATTTTAAAATTGGTATTATATGCTTTGATTTTTCAGTAAATATAAAAATCCACCTGTTAAACACCAGGAGGTATTTTCATCACCCTGTCCAATCACAAACTCATTTGACAAGTGCCAACAGGATGGTAATAAATTGGTGACACTGAAAACTAAATATGAATACGCTTAGGGGGAAAAAATCAAGTTGGTGGATAAAAAAAAAATCAGAAAATAAACCCCAAGGAAGAACACACTTTCATAAATCTTAGTAAGTATTAAATGTGCTCAGTACTGACAGTAAGTTGAAATAGGAACAAAAGTTGGGGGGGAGGACAAAAGAACTGATTATTCATCTGTCAGGAAGTAAGATATAGCATTGATTCATTCTTTATATGCTTTTGTGATTTTGTGCCCAAACAGTTGCTTAAATGTATTCTTTATGAGTACTGTTTGGGACAGAGCTGTGCCAGCTTTGAAAATATTTTGGAAAAAAGATTTCAGAACTCATATAAGTACATAACCTCTACTATTTATTAAAGCTGTCTCTCCCTTGTTCCTCTCTCTTCCACTTTGCTACAAAGCTGAAAAAATATGAGCTTGCTTTAATGGATTAGGACATTAAATCAGTCATATTATTAATATAACTCTTAAAACATTGGCATCTTTTTATTCCAGACTTCTGCAGAAGCCTGAAAAAGCAGGCAGCTGTTTTAATGAAAGATTCTATATTTTCACATGTGTGTTCTGAAATACTTCCAACTATTGTTGAATTTTGTGTAGATCTCTATTTCCTCCCCTACTTTTGCGTTATTTTAATTTTTCTTTGTATTTTATATTTTAATAAATTCATAAAAATATTAGGAACAAAAAATTATTCTGTTAAAGAAGCACTTTCTAAACAAATTTTAATTATTATTCCTTCAAACAATTTGAAAGTAATCTTTTTTCCTTCTCTTTCTCAAAGGAATGTGCTAATGCTGAAAACACAGCAATAAAAGAAAGAAAGTAAGTGGAGATCATTTGCAATGGATTGTTCCATTTGGTATCTTAGACTTGTTCACTTACTTAGCCTCTGTTCTTTTTATGGCATGTGTAGACATTCTTTCGACAAGTAAATTTTGAAAACTAAAATAATTGCTCAGCTCACTGTCAGCTTTCTACCATTTTGTTTGCAATTATAAACATTTGCTTTCATAGTTTTGACAGGAT